AGCAAACAGAGACCAACGTTTTGTCCTGTCTTTGGGAAGGGCAAAGAATTAATTATAAGAAGCAAAGTCTGAACAAGTCTAAGAAAAAAGGCTAAAATGTGACTGTAGATAAAAAAAAAGAACCCTTATGCTCTGCGTAATGGGAGCGTTCCAGCAGCTCTCAGCAACGAGAAGGAGAAATCAGCAACATGGAAGAGAATTTTTAGTGGGAATTACCCATGAGACAGTGGCAGAATTGCACAGAACTGGGACCAGGGTGGATTCAGCACTGTGAGCAGGTGGGACCAGTGCTTAAGAGGACATGGCATTTGGCTTAATCAACTGATATAAAGGATTGTTGGTCTCCCCAATTCCTTGGGGACTGCAGTGCAAAAGGAGGGGAACACAGCCAAGGAGACAAGTTTTAGGATGCCATCAGTGGCACTGGATAACTGGCAGCAAGAGAGAAAAATGAAGCTGGTGCTGCATTAATTCTTTGTACAATTTTGAGGGAGGAAAAGCTGAATCCTGAATGGGAAGAACTTGCAAGTGTGTGAAATTTTTGAGGATGGAAAAAGACCTACATTAAGCCAGCCTCGAGTCAGACATGCAGGAAGGAAGATGATTTACACTAAAACAATAAACTCCACTAAACCAAACCAGACAGCAGTGATACTTCCAGCACTCTGGATTATTCATACACCCAAGGCAGCCACAGATTTATTGCATCATCAGAGGACACAACTGTTAGCGACGCAGCAGAGCTCAGACCCTGACTCCAGGTTTCATATAAATCAGCCTGGAAAATGCAACAAGAAGTTTCCTCAGCTGGTCACGCCCTCCAAGAGGTTTTCTCTATCTACAGGCCACTGCTAATCTTCAGCCTGGGTGATGATTCCTGGGAAAGAACCTTTCCTTTAACCCAAATTCAAAGAACAACTTCCAGGGCAGTGGAGAAGCACCATGAGAAGAGGTGCTGATGAAGCATCTCCTCCTTGGCTCGTGCCATGCCAGGGCAGGAGGGAACTGCACTGGGGAGAGCTCCAGCAGCTGGTGAAGAGAGCAGGATCCTGTCGTTGGGAAAGGGATAACAGGATCAAGAGCCTGTTTGTGACAGATGTTCCAAGGCAGATCTCAGAGGCTGTAGCACTGTTTTTCTCCCCAGCTACTCCAAACACCTCCCTCGCTGCCAGTGAGAGGACCCTGTGCCACGACTGGCACAGAGCTGTGGGATGGAAGCCCACACTGGAATTATAACACTAAAGGAATACTGCAGCAGTGGCAAACCCTGTGCCAGCCCCACTGACCTGGACTGCTGTCTTGGGAAGCTCCTGCTCCATAGTGACGATACTACAGAGAGGAGAAGCTCCTCAGCTGCTGAAAACCACAAATCTCCACTCATTTAGGAAAGGCAGCTCTGAGGTTTTACTGGGGGGGGGGAGGGCAGGTCATTTGGGGAGGAGAAGTGCTGGTCACAGTGCTCTGTTTGTGTGTCCCCAGAACCACAAGGACAATTCCTGTACCTCACAGGTTTGTTTTTCCTTCTCCTTCACACCCCTGCGCTGCAACTCCAGGGAAAAGGCAACAGCTGGAAATGACTCTCTAAATACACTTGAACTTTTTACTATCTACGTATGCTTTGCTTTCTCTGCTCTGGCCCCCTGATGCTCTGCGAGGTTTGAACTCCTCACTGGCCAACCAACTGGGAAAGTCCAGTCTGCTCAGCTTTCCCACCAAACACCACCCCCATCCCAGGGTGACCTCAGCCAGCAGCGGGAAGTGGGGGAGAAGGGCAGGGCTGGGAGGTAGCTCAAAAGGGAGGAGGAAAACGGGAAAATCGCAACAAGCTGCCCAAAAAAACCTCCTCGTGACCCCCCTTCTGTTCAGCCCCCACACATGCACACAACATGCACATGCACAACAGGATTTCACAGTGCCAATGTCAGCGAGTGCCTTTCCCCCCCTCGGGACGCGCCGGATTTTGCCATAAAGACTCCCATTTCGTAGCAGTGCATTGGAGACCCACGAAATAAATATGTTACAGTCACTCCAGTGCCTGTGCCCTGCACTGCAGAGCGTGCCAGGGGCGTTCACAGCCAAAGGACTTGACAGGAACTCGGCTCCTCGTGCTCCCAGCAGGGCTGAGGGATGCGGAAAATCGCGGTGGTTTTTTTTTTGGACCACGTCTATTTTGGTTCTCCATTAGTCCCACACAGCCAAACACAGATGTCACAGCGAGGTCTGGTACGAACAGATGGGGATGTGCTCCTTTTAGAACCAGCACCATGTGATTTTTGGTCAGAAGAAGAGACGTGGATGTGCTTTCTCTGTCCTGCAGGCGGCTGCCATGGCTCTGGAGGGCTGTGGCACTGAGCTGGGTCCCGTCCTTCACAGTGGGCTGGGTCTGGCAGGTAGATGTGTCTGACAGCAGCCAGCGAGGAGCTTCAGTGCTTTAAGACAAAATGCCTCCAAATGAAGAAGACCTGAAGTGCCCTTCCAAGCCCTGAGTGGCTCTGAAGGGCTGCTGCTCCTCCTTAAGTGTCTGCAGGGATGGGCAGGATGGCAGAGAAAACAGTCAGGAACTGCCTGGGGAGGACAACTGAAGGGCATCGTGTGCTCCTTCCACGTGGCTGCCCCACAGGAATCTGCTGGTGGGTTTTCTGGGCAGGCAGCTCTCCTTGCAAAGCTCTGGCACACGAGTCTCTGGTTGGCTGTGGTGGGACAGTTTGGCACAGCACCCTCCTTCCCTCGCCCTGGAGTGCCACCACGCAGCTCCAGGCGTGTCTTTGGGAAAGAATGACCGCTGCTCCTTGTTCAAACATGTGAGGCAGAGGCACCAGGGGAGAGTCCTCCCTGCTCCCCCCGTGGGAGAAGCTCCTGGTGGCCCCTGCAAGCACTTTGTTGTGATTTAATCAGCTCCAGGGGTTTTCTTATGTTCTTTCAAAGTCCATTATTCCCTGACCAGGAGCAAGTGCTTTTTTGGATGCAAAGGCATCACCAGCATCCCTTTGGATACACAGGCAGGACAGACAGGAACCACCTGCCCACAACGTGCCTGGAGCCCACTCCCCCCAAATTCTACCACCTGAAAGCCACGCAGGGCAGTAGTGGTGCCATCAGAGGGGCTGCCCTGGGGACACTGAGCTCAGAATGTGTCCCTGGGTGCCCAGCACACACCTGGTGTTCACCTCCCCACAGGTGAGCTCTGCTGCCAAGCCAGGGATGTGTGTGCAAGTACAAACCCAGCACTGCACTGCGGGTTTTGGATAAGCAGATTTTTAGATGAGTAGGGGCTGGAGGGACGATTCCTCCCGTTAAAGTCCTTGCTGCTGGAGCACCAAACTTTGAGGCAGTGCAGGAGCTCAGCAGAGAAGTGACTCGTGCCTGCAGGGAAGGGTCTGGTGCCACTTGCAAGGGCTTTGCTGTTGGATCTGGTCTGGAAGTGGAAAATGCTAAAAGTATTTTATAAATGGCCCCATATTTTACAAGCAGTCCAGGGAGATGATGTCTGGCCTCAGAGGTCTAGATGGCTCAGGATTTTCACCCACAGCAGACACACTTCCTCTTGGATCCGGCTCCTGGAAAATACAGCCAAGCAGCTCCCAACGAATGTGCCTTCAGCTGCTGAAAACGAGGGGAGAAGCCCAGGAATGGCAGTCAGGGACCTGTAAACACCAGTTCTGCTGGCCATGGCCAGGGGGTGGCTGGAAAAATGCCAAATGTGGCCACAGGAAGGTGGTGGTGGCAGGAGCGTTTCAAAGAATACGACGTAGTGCTGGACAGGAAGAACAACCTGATTCCCATTTGGCACTCTCTGTGCTTGGTTGGTGGCATTTAAACATCCCAAAAACCTCCTCAGTAACCAAAGAATTTATTTCAGTTATTTATAAACCCATGGGTTGATCCTTCAGCTTCTGCCACAGCGTTTTGCCTCCGGAGACCTGGGATGAGGTTTTTGCCTTTGCCCACCCGGGCTCTCCTCGAGGTGAAGGGCTGAGACTGAAGCTGCCTCAAAGCTCCCAGAGCATCATCTCTGAGGGAGGTCCCGGTCCCCAAATGGCACAGAGCACACCTGCCCAGTTTGGGAACTGCAGAGAACCAGATCACACAGTTCATGCTCCGAAACTACCAGGACTGGGCACCAAACCAACACCTTTCCCATCAGCCAGACCTTCCTAAAGACCTCTGACAACAGAGAGTCACAAAACCCAGCCACCCTCCCCTCTCTCCCTCCCCCAAACCCCTCTGTGGTGCTGATTCAGCCCTGCACCAGCACCCCTGAATTGAACTGGTGGCCTTTTCATCTTGTCAAACAGCTGGAAACCCAAGAGCCACAAAACACCTGCCGTGCCACGACCAGTGGGAAAGAACAAATACTCAAACAGGAGAGAATGTGCATATAAAAAAAACCTTTTTCTCCTCGCATATTGTCAATAAGCTGCAATTTTTCCTTCCCCAGGGAAGAGATTTTAAGTTGTTGGATGATGTAATTTCTTTTTCTTTAAAAAAAAAAAACAACCCAAAACAACCAAACCCCAATCGAAAAGATTTCCAACCCCCAAACTCACAAACCGGTGTTAAGGACAATGGACAAATCTCCCAACAATGACAACTGAAAAATAAAGGGTACACGTCAGCATTTGTAATCAAAAACTACTACATACTGTACTTGGGAAGTCCTCTGGGAAAAGATCACTGGCATCTAGAAAGGACACCACTAAAAGTCTTGTGCATGATATGTATGAGACACGATGCCACTGGAGGGTGTGGATGGACAGACCCTTTAGGAAACTGTCACTCACAAAACTGTTCCATGACAAGAGAAAATAAGAGATGTAAAAAGGACTGGTTTGTTGTTTTTTTTTTCTCCCCACCCTCCCCTCCCTCCCACCCCCAAAGGCGTTACAGATTCCTTCTCATTTGGTGGAAACAGCCTCCTCTAAGTCTTGGTTTATTTGTTGTGTGTGGTTATTTTTTTTTTTTTAAGAATAAAAAACCAAAAAAAAACCCCAAAAAAACCCAAAAAAACAAACAACCAAACTCTTGGGCTTTTGAAGAAGTCCATCAGTTTCTGAGATGCACTTGGTTCCACAGCACCAAAGAGCTTCAGCTCTCCCCCCACTCTGATTCGCTCACAGGGGCTTTTGGGGGAGAGGGCTGCACGACATTCCCAGAGCCACAGCCCACGGGAGGAGGGAAGGATGTGCTTCTGTGGCCTTTCTTTGCATTCCTCTTCCTGAAAAAGTCTCATCTCTCCAGAGGTGCCTGGGCCCAGCTGCAGCAGCCTTGTGCAAGAGGAAACACGAAGCTGCTCTTTTCTCTTCCTTTGGAGACTCCCATTGGTCTTGGAGCCCTTTTTGAGAATGCAATTGCTTTATTATTATTTAAAAATATTTCATAGTTTGTCGTTTTGTTTTGTTTTGTGTGTTTTGTTTTTTTTTTTTTCAAAATAATCGTCTTTTTTTTTTTTTTTTCCTTTCTTTTGTTCCCTTTTTCCATTGCTTAAATTCTAGAAGCTCTTCTGTTTTTGAGGACAGGGTGTTCCTTCCTGCTGCCCTGATCCTCAGAGCAGCTGCCTGTCTCTGGTCCATGCAGAACACTCAAGAACTGGAGCTTGGACATTACAGGGGCGGAAGGGGAGCAGGGCCTTGAGGAAGAGGAGGAGGACACACAGCCATCAAACCTCCACAGACTGAATTTGGTTCATCTGTGCCCTCATCACCTGGATACTGTTCAGGATTTTCTTCTGGTGTCCTGCCAGAGTGACCCCAACTCGCAGAATGTCCCTTTGGGAAGAAGGGAAAACAAACGTCAGGAGGTGTTTTCTCACAACAGGACAAGATCACAGATGACATTTCTGATGATCTCCCAACCCAAACCATTCAGTGTCTCTATGATACCATGAGAAGGGAGCTGAAATCTACACAAATGACTTCCATGAATGCAACCAATGGATGCAAACCTGGTGAAACCTCTACTTTTTTACTTTTTTTTCTGGCTTATCCTCCAATCTTTGCATTTTCTACCCACCTGTAGCACCCTCAGAGTCCTGGAATCTCAACAGAGAGTGCGAAACCAAATGTCCCAGGCTCTGCTGAGTCAACTTGCCTTGAATTTTCTACTCTTGTGTCGTTTCGTTTGGATTCTCTTTCATTTTGTGACACATTTTTTTCCATCCCTAGAGACACAGGACCAGGGTGTCCTGCCCCTCATCAGTGTGGATCTCACTCCCCCTGCACAGATGATGGGCTGTTCTCGATGCTTTTCCTTTGATCTGATAAGACCACGAAATGATCAACTTTTGTACTTGTGCTCTGTGTTAAATCAGGGTAATCTAATTTTTGGAATGCTTCTGTTTTTTATGGATATTGGGCATCTGGGAGAAATAAAGGTCAAGGCAAGAGAGTGTGACTCTAAATTGGTCCCATTTGTGGCTCCAGCTGTGTTTGTTCCCCTCTGCATCCTCCCTCCTGGTGGATAAACCTCAGTCATGAATTCTTCAGATCTTCTTCCCATCAGGGGATGGATGGGCACGACCCACACCTGACTCTGGAGGATTTTCAAGTGCCTTTTCTCCTGGAGTGTTAGGAGCAGACTTTTAAGGGGAAGTGTGGCAAAACCCTTGCCTGGTTTCGAGTGGAAGCCAAGGGGCAAAGAAGGGCAACCAGGAGCTCCAAGGAAAGATGGAAAAAATTCTGTAAACCATCCTGGGATTCTTAGCAGATAATCTGGTGGCCCAGGTGCCCCAGCCTGCAGACAGCCAGTAAGAAACCTTTCTAGTGTTGAAACCATGTGGATTTGGGGAAACCAAACCAGTCTTCAGGAAACATTTACCCTTTGCTGGCTGTGAACAAAACAGCAGCTCCACTTCCACGACTGGGTACTTCTGCAAAGACCAGGTGAACATCAGGGGGGTGGTGCCAAGTAGAGTTGCACCACGAATTCCCAAGGAAAAAGGACTTGGACTGTCCTTCTCTCTGTTTTACATCCAGCCAAGCAGGTGATAAATGTGGGAGGGAGGTTTGTCAAACCTGGTGGGACATGAGCTGAGGATGCCCCTGTGATTGTGGTGAAGGCACTTGGAAGACACTGTGAGGGACAGGGTAAGGGACTGGGGAGAAGTGGCATTTAAGGGACACTGAGGATGTCTGTGAAAGAACAGGCTGCACTGGCTGGGCTGTCTGCAGAACTGTTTGCTGTTGGATACTCAGAATAGCACAGCCCAGGCAGAGTTAGGTTGTAGTGTGGGTCTGATGTCTCTCCTTAGTCAAAGTTCTTCTTCTCTACCCTTTCTGTTGGATGAACACAGAAAATATTGGTGCCAAAATCATCCCCAGGGCCTTGGGGTTGTACCACAGACGTGCTGAAACAGTCAGAACTGCCATGGGATTTTCCCAGCAGCAAATAAGAACAAAAAGCCAGAAAAGGTCCCACTGGCTGTTTGTGTGAACAGATTCTGACTCACTGGTAGATTTAAAATCTGGATGAAGGCATCAACTCCAAAATCATTCCTGGTCACCAGGCTAAAGGACATCACAGCACTTGTAGATGGCTTTGATGCTTGGCCCTTTCTAAGGGTTTCTACAGCAAAGTGCAACCAGCCACAGAGGCATCAGAGCCCCAAACCCACCACAAATGGATTTCAGCTGCTTTCTCCAAAGAGATTGCACGGAATTGGACACTGCAGGATGTTTCTATCTAGGGGATCCTGTTTGCCAGGAAGACTGGACTGGATGACCTCCAGTGGTCCCTTCCAACCTTTACCACTCTGTGATTCCATCATCTGGAACTTCCAGACACCTTTCTCAGGCAGAACTTCGTTGTCTCCATCCCTGATACACCACCCACCCAAGAGGACTGCAGGGTCTAAATGTGCTCTTGAGTGGCTGGAGAACTGTCTGATGCCACCTGAACTCTCCATTTGTTCCATGTTGGGGTTCTGGAGACCTTGGGGGGGTGTTTATTCTCACAGTGGGGACGTGGATGGTGTGGAGATGAACTCTGCAAGCGCAGAGAGACAGAGAACTCAAAGTCTGGAGACCACACAGAGCCTCCAGAAACTGAACAGACCAAAAGTGGTTCCACAAAGCAACAAATCCTATACAAATAAAACCACAAAATGTGAAAATAAAGCTAATTCAGTAACAAGCAACTGCTGTTAAACTCCTGAGACTTTCCCTGTGTTTTGGGCACTTACTCTACAGTCATCTGAGATACTACATCAAAGGTGGTGAAGCCAGCACTGGCAAAGCTCTCCTTGTACTGGCTCATCTTGATGGCATCCAGCCATTCATCCACAGTGTTGAAGCTGGAATAATCCGGGATTGTGCGGTCCAGGAGGGGGAGGTTCATCCTGGAACACAGAAACGGGAATGAGCAGACAAAGAGCTGCAAACACAACTGTCCCTGCACCCTCCAGCAGCTGCAGGCACCCGGACCAGCATCAACGCTCTGTTCTGCTGAGGGACACCAAAATACACCTGAGGGACCCCAAAAGTCCCCAGGGACTCCAAAATACCTCCAAAACACATCTGGAGGATGCAAAAATACACCTGGGAGAGCTCAAAATACACCTGGGGGATCTCAACCCCACCCCAGCCCCAAGGGACTCTCAGCTGGTTCCATGTGCATGTTCAGGGTGTCAATGGTGTTCTGGGGAAAAAGGGGTTTTGGGGTAAAAATGGGGGGTTTGGGGAAAAAAGTGTTGATTTTTAGGAAGGAAAAGGGTTTTATTAGGAGAAAATGGTGGGGTTTGTGTAAAAAAACCCAGTGGTTTTAGGAAAAGAAATGGGAGGTTTGGGGAAAAAAAATGGTGGGTTTTGGGGAAAAAATTTGAGTGTTCTTTGGGGAAAAAATTTGAGAGTTCTTTGGAAAAACTGGGGAGTTTTGGGAAAAATGGTTTTTTTGGGGGAGGAACTGTGAAACAAATGGGGTGAAAACATGGCTTTTTTGGAAAAATATAGGTTTGGGAGGGATAAATGCTTGATGATCTCAGAGGTCTTTTTCAGCCTCGCTGATTCTGTGATTCTGTGAATGTGAGATTGGACAGCCAGAGCAACCACACTCCCCCAGCACCCTGTGTGCAGAGTCCACTGTCCATCAGCTGCCTGTGCTCACCAGACCCCTCCAAGGAGAGGGACTGGAGTGACCTTGACATCTGCACAGGTTGCCAACCACAGGATTCCCTGTGATTCCAAGCTCTCTGGCCTGGACATCAGATATTTGATTGGATAGGAAGGGATTCTTGGCTGTGAGGGTGGGCAGGCCCTGGCACAGGTTGCCCAGAGAAGCTGTGGCTGCCCCTGGATCCTGGGAGTGTCCAAGGCCAGGTTGGATGGGACATGGAGCAACCTGGGCTGGTGGAAGGTGTCCCTGCCCATAAAAGGAGGGTGGGATGAGATGAGCTTTAAATCCCTTCCAACCCAAACTGCTCTGGGATTCTGTGGTCTTTCAATGCCTACCCTGTAAAGGTTAAAAAACCCAGGCCAAGCTGCCTCTAAAGCAGCTCCCAGAGAGAGGTGCAGTGATGGTGCCCAGCATGACCCAAGGACAGCAGGTGTGCACAGAGGAGCCCCAGGGCAAGGGGAAGGTAGAGACACCCACCCAGAGGAGAGGGGTGCCATGGCTTTCAGGCTGTTCGGATTTCGGATCATTTTGTCCAATGTGTTGACAATCTGCCCAAATTTGGGCCTGTGGTTTCGATCCTTCTGCCAACAGTCCAGCATCAGCTGGTGGAGGGCGTTTGGGCAATCCATGGGCGGTGGCAGCCGATAGTCTTGCTCAATGGCATTTATCACCTGCAGGAGGGGAAAAAGAGGTCAGTGCAGCTGTGATAAAACCTGTTTAATTCACAGTGTCGCCTCTGTTGGATTCTGAAGGTCATGACCAGCCCTGCTGCAGCCTGCACTCACTGGTGCCCTCCAACCCCCTGCACTGAACTCTCAGCCCTCGGCATTTCAGTGAGGAGTGTCCTGGGGGGTGACACCAGCCTTGCTCAGCTGACACCCAGCCTTGCTCAGCTGACACCCAGCCTGGCTGGTCAGTCTGATCTGGTGATAGAGCCCATCCCTGATGGGCTGTGTGACCTCACAGCTCCAGCCACGAGGCAGGGGAGTCAGGGGGATGTGTTTGGACGGGTACCCAGCCCAGCAGCTCCCTGGGAGCAGAACGTCCCCATCCACTGAAGGGTTGTGACCTACAGACAGGCAAGCTGCTCCCTGTGTTTTCCTTCCTCCAGGAGGCTGCCTAGAGAAAATTAAGGATACTGCAGCTGGGAATGGGAAAGAAGCAGGGAAGTGTTGGTGGGGAGGAGGCACTGGAGGTGCTGTGGCAGTAGAAGGCTCCCTCCAAGGGAGGGAAGATGGCAAATCTGTGCCAAACAATCCAGAGCGTGAGGTGGGGGATCTGGCAGGGTTTAAGAAGGACAGTGGCTTCAGGTAGGGAGTGGACTAGAAGGTTCTCCAGGCACTGCTGTGCGTGGCCAAGGTGCTGGGCAGGCTGACCTGAGACCACTGCTGCCAAAATGAGCCAGGTGGGAGGAATCCTCCCTGCCCTTCCCTGCCCTGGTTGGACAGGGCTTGTGAAAGTCTGACCAGAGTCATCTCCTCTACAACTCCCTGACAGGAGGGTGGAGCCAGGTGGGGATTGGTCTCTTCTCACAGGTAAACGAGTGACAGGACAAGAGGAAACAGCCTCAAGTTGTGCCAGGGGAGGTTTAGATTGGTTATTAGGGAAAAATTCTTCACGAAAAAAGTTGTCAAGCATTAGAACAGGGTGTGCAGGGAAGTGGTGGAGTCACCATCCCTGGAAGGGTTCAAAAGGTGTGTGGATGTGGCACTTGGGGACGTGGTTTAGTGGTGAACACTGCAGTGCTGGGTTGATGGTTGCACTCCATGGCCTTAGAGTCTTTCCCAACCTCTGTGATCCCGTGACTGATGTGCTTTGTGCAGCTCTCGGCTCCTGCTCAGGTACTCTCCCAGGATGCTGCAAGTTGACCCCTCTCCCAGCTCTACATCTACCCAAGACAGAGGGGAGGGGAGGCACAGGGGGCACAGGGTTGGGCAGCGGCATCACACAAGGACCAAGTGTTCGTCTCTGGCACGGACCGAGCGCTTTTTGGACGAGCTGCCTGCTGTGCTGCCACCAGACACATCCAGAGGCAGCACAGGCTGCTCTCTCCATCTCCCCTCCCATCAGACACATCCTCTGAGGCGGCACAGGCCGCTGTCTCCATCTCCTCTCCCCCAGCCTCCCCAGGCGCTCACACCCCAGGGTCAGGAGGCTAATCTGCACTGAATGCCCGCCACGCGCCCTCAGCAGGGAGGACCAGCTGGGCTTAAGTGGTGACAGCTTCTGGGCCACCATGTCACCATGTCCTGCGGCAGGAAGAGCGGGAGAAAGGGCTGGGGACGGGAGATGCAGCGGGAGATGCCAAGGGGAGAGGAGCAGGCTCTGCCAGCCCCGGCAGGTGGAGCGGTGCTGCCGCGGCACTGGGGTTGTGGCAGGAGAAACCTTGGAAGGGAGAGGTCCAGGGAGGTGAAATTCTTTGCAGAGAGAGTGATCAGACACTGGAATGGGTTGCCCAGGGAGGGGGTGCAGTCACCGTCCCTGGAGGTGTTTAAGGAGAGACTGGATGTGGCATCAGCACCACGGTCTCGTAGGCAAGGCGGGGTTGGGTCAGAGGTTGGACTTGATGATCTCAGGGGTGTTTTCCAACCTGGTTGATTCTGTGGAGTGCAAGGGAGATGGAAGGCAGGGGGCTACAGGTACAGTGACACCTGGCTTCAGGAAACGCTTGAAGCTGAGGTGACAGTGAAGCCTTAACAGGAAGGGAATTGTCCTTGCTGAGAGGGCAGACCCTTTATCTTCTCAGCATCTGCCCATCACCTGCTCCCCTTAACCCTGTCCTACTGCTGTAGATGCTGAGCAGTCCCCAATCTCTGCCACAGCAGCACAGTGTGACCAGACCAAACCCCAAAATTATCCCCATTACTTCTTCCAACGGTGCCAACCTTGGGCACGTGTCCCTCAACAGAGAAGGCTCTGGACACGCCACAGGCTGTGGCCACACTTTGGCCTTGCAGTGCCCCCAGTTTCAGCATTTCTGCCCCTGGTTTCTGAACTCACATCTTGGTTGGTCATGTCCCAGTAGGGCCGCTCTCCGTAGGACATCACCTCCCACATGACGATCCCGTAGCTCCACACGTCGCTGGCTGAGGTGAATTTGCGGTACTGAATGGCCTCAGGGGCTGTCCATCGGATGGGGATCTTCCCACCCTGCAGGGAGAGAACAGAGGATGGGAACAGAAGGAGCAAGAGCAAACTGAAAACATGAGGGTCCATAATGTTTGCCTGTAATGTTCTGGTAAAACCCAGAAGGAAGGGACCACAGGGCTACCCCTCGTGCTGCTTCAGGATGGATGTGGATTGTCTAGTCAAGCTGGGAAGCCTTCAGTGATGATGATTTTCCCCATTTGGTGACCTGTCCCACCACTCTCCTGAGAATGCAGCTTTCCCTGTGATTCACCTTGAACCTCACAAGCCACATTTTTGCCTATTACTCCTTATTATATCATCTGATGCCACTGCAAGGAGTTTGTCTCTGTCTTCTCCCTCCAGGTCCCTTAGAGACGTTCCCTCAGCCTCCTCTCCATCACATTAAACAAGACCAGCTCCTTCCACCTGCCTCCTGCTACAGTTTTCCTCGGCATGGAGAAATGCCCACGGTGCTAGTAGTGACTTTGGTAGAAAAATTAAGGTCTAGGAATACAGGAAAATCCAAACTGATCTCCCTGCATCCTTTCGCAGTCATCTCTCTACCTCCAGAGCAGGATATATGGAATTGGAACACCTTCTTCTTCAGCCTTCGACAGCTGTTGACTCCTTGAAGTCAATGGTACATAATTTTTGATGTCCCCTCCATCAAGCAGACTCCTGACAGAGCTCACGGCAAGCAGTGGGTTTAAAAAAAAATATAAAAGAGAGGTCCTAAAGTAGAAATTACCGACTTTGGAGGTTCTTTGTGGAGAAATTCACTTCTGTGAGACCTCCCATGTCTGTGGTGATCTGACCCAGGGCCTCAGCCATGAACTTCCCATGCCACAGCCTGTGGCTGTTGCCCACCCATGGGTACCAGGTCCCTGGGATGGTGACAATAAAACACACTTGTGCATCCCAGGACAGGGCATTTTGCAGAGGATCCTCCTAGTTCTCTGATGCAGCAGGTGCACATATTCTGTCCCTACAGATAATCTACATCCTGCCATAGTGCCCACAGTCCGAGGAGAATAAATTAGGGCTGACAAATTTATTATTAGAGAGAGAAAAGCTACAGGCACAATAACAGGGAGGGAGAACAGCAGTAAAGACCATGTATTTACTTAACAAAGGGAAAGTTAATTGGCTGTGAGGAACATGTTGTGAAAAATAAATGTTATTAAGTGCTTCTAAGGCTGTGTAAGACGGAAGAGTTGATGTTTGAAGCTACACAAGTTCAGATGAAAATAATCCCCCACACTTTTGCTGTTTGTTTGGTATTCAGCTGCTGATATAATTCACTAAGAGCTATTCCAGGTAGCTTCAAAAGACCCAGGAGGGATGATTTCCTACAGCAACACCAACACTTATTTCCAGGAATTCTTGTCTTAGGCATTGATCCTGTTGCACTGTTCCAGAGCCATGCTGTGTGATATTTATGAGAAGTCCTGGCTACAACCTCACTAAGCAACAAGTCTTCAAACAATCCTTTGGTCCCAGTGAACATTCTGTAGCCTGAGACAGGCCATGAGTCCTTGGTGGCACTTGTGTCACTGGCGCTGTGGGTGTTCCTGGGAAGTAATTACATGTCCATGAAGCCATTTCTAGGAATGTTTCTGTCTAATTCATACAGATTCTCTGGAGAATCAGTATCTAACACTGCTGGGATCAATGCCCAGCATGCACCCACACTTCAGGCTGTCGTTCCTGGGGCTGAGCCTGTGACACGACACGGGGAAGGATGACAGATTCCTGAGCAGCAGGATGATGGATTCCTGGACAGTAGGGCAGCACAACTGGACAGCGATGATTAAAAAACCCAGACTTGCTGCCCTGGCAACAAATCTGTCAGGCCAGTGTTTAAAGGACCCCACCTGGATCCCACTGAGCGGGTACAGTGCATGATACCAACTAAGGGCTTTATCAGGGATATGTATGTTTGGAAGAAGGTTCAACTATCCCTAGGAACGACAGGACCTTGCAGGAGGGAATCTTCCTCCATTTATTTCCTTGTTCTTACCCGTCTGGGACCTTATTTCTCCTGAAAAAGCCACCTCCCTCTTTCCCCTCTCCAACCCCTTCCTTCCCCACCCACCATCCCTCCCTCCGGAGGAGCAGCGTTACCAGGGCGCTGGTGTAGGTGGGATCAGAGGTGTCGTCCTCCAGGAAGCGGGAGAGGCCGAAGTCGGACACTTTGCAGACCAGGTTGCTGTTGACCAGGATGTTTCGGGCCGCCAGGTCCCGGTGCACGTAGTTCATGTCCGCCAGGTACTTCATGCCCGCGGCGATGCCCCTCAGCATCCCCACCAGCTGGATCACCGTGAACTGCCCGTCGTTTTGCTTGGGGAACAAGAGAGGGCGGGGGGGACACACCACGTGAAAATTCACAGCCTGGCACGGTCAGGCAAACAGCCAGAGGTGTCTTTCTACATCATGGCTCTTGCCACGAGTAGGTACATTCCCCTCAGAGGGGAGTGGAGAGCTCACAGGCACTGGGAGTCACCCCCCCCTCACCCCCAGGGCATCGCCATGGTGGCTGCTGCCACCCAAAGGTGCACCCACTTTGCACTGGAGGGCTCAGAAGGGACCATCTATTCCTGTTATCTCCCTTCAACAATTATCCCCTTCAAGCTCAGAAGCAGCAATACTTGGGACAGAGCAGCTGGAGGTCCTGCTGTGTTAAAGCTCCGTCCATCTGTGCCAGTTTGCACAGGCACCTGTGGGCGTGCAGGAGGGCACAGCCTCTCCCTAGGATAAGACATGCCACAGGTGACCTCCTGGAGGTGGTGCCACCTCCACCTCTGCTCCCAGACCACAGACCTCTGGACTGGGCAGCAGGTGCTCCAGGGGGTGCTGGGCAGGGAAGGGCACTGGGAATGGCACCTTCCCCCCTGGTCCTCCTCTGTCCCAGCACAGCCTCTGGAGCTGCCCACTCCCAGGATCCCATACCCGCAGGAAGGAGTCCAGGGAGCCGTTCTCCATGAACTCAGTGATGATCATGACTGGAGAGCTCTTGGTCACCACCCCTTCCAGGTGGATGACGTTGGGGTGGTCAAACTGGCCCATGATGCTGGCCTCGCTCAGGAAGTCCCGTCTCTGCTTCTCCGTGTAACCAGACTTGAGGGTCTTGATGGCCACAAAGATCTCCCTCTTGCCAGGAAGCTTGAGGTGCCCACTGCACACCTCGCCAAACTCCCCTGTGGATGGATAAGTAGGGCTTGTCAGCTTCCCACAGGCTCCCCTGCCTGCCCTGCACATCCCTGAGCTGCCACCCACCACCTGATCTCTGCTTCCTCCCTCCTCCACACCAAAGACCCCCCCTTCAGGTGGACTCATCACTGTGAGGAGCGTTGGATGTGGGATTATTTGCACGTGGGAACTGAGTGTTCATGTTTCTCCACGAACGCTGGACCCTGCTGCTCCTTCTAGTCCAGGCTGGGGCTAAGTAAGACCTTAGTGACACCAGTCTTCCCAGTACAGGTAAGGCTAAAGCCTCACCTGATCCTGGGAGCAGGAAGGAGCCTGTGGTGCTGAGGGGGAGCCAGCCATTCCCAGGTCACCTACCTGCCCCGATCACCTGCTCGATTTTGACACAAGAGATATCGATTTCTTTCGCAAACTCCCTGACAGCCTCATTGGGATCTTCGTAGGTGAACGGATCGATATAGATCTTCATCCCTGGAGTCACTGCACAGAGGTGAGGAGACAGTCAGAAAGGTGGATGCAACCAGAACAACAGGCTGCTGGCGTCAAGGAAAAGAGAAACCTGCTTGTGTGAGGGTCTTTCTGCCTCAGCGAGTTGCACAATCAAGGGCACAAAGCAGAAACAGAGAAACAGTCTGAGAAGGAACATGCAGAGCCATGTTTCACAGGACTATTAAAGCTGGGTTTAATGACTATCAGTCCACAAGTCATTGTTGGTGTAGTTGGGGGGGGATTTGTTGTGAGCTCAGAGTGCAAACTGCAGAGTCTGTGACCTTTCCAGGGGTAGTGCAAGCAGGATGGACAGTCCAGTCTGTTCTCCTGACAGGTAACCCAAGGCTGGGTTTCCCCTTGGGAAGCCCGAAAATGGCCCAGACAAGCTGTGGAGGACACAAGGGAAATTGCAAGCACCAAGTTCCTCCTGCTGGGCAGAGCAGAGGATGCAGTGGGTCCTGGGAAAGGCAAAGGCCATGGGACCTGGTGAGGCTGGACTGTTGCTGCCACATCCCACACTACCTGTGGGACAACTCTTACCTGTGGGTCTCCTCTTTCTATACCCATTTTCTGGCCTCTAGCTCACTCCAAAATGGGGGTTACACGGAGGGAAGAGGTCACAGCTCACGAAACAAGAAGCCCAACACGGCACCAGAGCATGACTCCCAACTCCGGGACGCTGGCTGGATTCAGGGGGGTTCTGCAATGCTCACAGGCTACCCAGGCTTTGGCAATTTGCTGTAGTCTCCCCACAGCAATCACTGCTGGGGAGTGAGCAGGGACTGAGCCCTGGATGGGTGTGCTGAGTGTGGAAGTGGTTAAAAGGCACCTCAGGCCCTTTATCAGCTCACGTGCATCCCACGGCACCAAGTGGTGCAGGCACAGCCATTAATGCCACCTCAGCCTGGAGCTGTCCTGTCCCACACCAGGCCCAGGAGAAGGTGTGAGTGTGTGTTTGCAGCCTGGACTGACAGACCACTGAGAGCTGCATTTTCATAATCTCTCCTGAAAAGTGTCATTTCTCCCTCGGTAAGGGATAGCGAGGCAGCCAGAACAGGCTGCTGGGCCACAGGGCTGCAGCTCAGAGCTCTGCCTTTTAGGAGGTGTTTTCCCAGATAAATGAGAAACAACAGTGAGTCCTGAGCAGAAACACTACTGGTGTTCTCCATGCTCTGAGCAAGGTCTGGATTTGTAGAGGAAAAGATATTAAAAGGGCAGAAGGGCTGAAGCTCCGAGTAGAACACAAGGAAAATAACAACTGACACTGGAATAAAGCAAGATTAGAGCCACATGTCTCTGGTGAGGGAGGAGAAAGGGATCGCAGGGACATGCAGGCAGTGGTTAATCACAGAATGGAACGGCTTGGGTTGGAAGGGATCTTGAATGACCTCATGTGGTTCCACCCCTGCCATAGGCAGGGACACCTTTCACTATCCCAGGTTTCTCTGAGCCTCGTCCAACCTGGCCTTGGATGCTTCCAGGGCTGGGGGAAGGAGGATGCACTGGGGTGAGGCAGAGGGTGTGCACTGAGGCTGGGAGCAGGAATGCTGGACTGAGGGAGTGCCTTGCACTTGGATGTTGGAAGAGGGAGGCTGCAAGAGAGGGCATGTTAGGTATTGTATTATATACCTATCCATAGATATATCTCCTATCTACTGGGAATCTGGGAGCACTGGCATGGGCTCTGGCAAAGGTGTGTGGGCTCCTGCAGAAGGACAGCACTCAGCAGGAGGGGGACAGGCCAGGGGAGAAGGGGTCTCACTGCTGCCCAGCAGATGAGCAAAGCTGAGGAGTCAGAGGAGCAAGACATGGTGTGGTAGCAGAAGCTGCAGCATAGAAGAGCGTGGTGAGGCTTCAGGGGGGTGTGCTGGATGCCACAGGGGGTGTGCTGGATGTCACAGGGCTTTGCAGAGCCATGCCCAGGGGGTGGCTCCTACCAGCACACACAGGGCTGGGGAGCAGGGCAGGGATCAGGGGAGATGCTCCTGCCCACACATGCACACACCAGGAGGCCCCTGAGCCCCTCCCCACCCCTCCCCAAACGAGGAATGAGTGAACAGGAACACAAACCGAAGAGCGAGCGGCCCCCCAGGGCGGGCGGGGACCCTCGGTACGTACTGTGGCCACTGGTATAGTGCTGCAGCTTGTCGGTGTACTCGGAGTCCGCCCGCTCAAAGCCCCTTCTTCTGGAAAGGAAGGGGAGACCTGAGCACAGCATGGGCCCTTCCCAGCCCCAACCCCTGCCACCCTGTCCCCAGGAACCACGCCCTGGCCGGCCCTGGCGTGCTCAGGTGGCCTACCTGTTGCACACGATGCCGATGACGACCACGGCGATGAGGAACACCAGACCCGCCGCCGAGGAGCCGATGATGAGCGGCAGCTTCTCCTGGACGCTGGTCTGGTATTCGGCTGGTGCACAAAGAGAGGGAGCGGGTTAATGTGTCATCACTCACAAGTTCACGAGAAGCCAGAGCGAGGCCCACACTTGCAGGGATGTTGCTTGCTTTGGTCCGGGACAGGTGGTGCTGTCCCAGGCCTGGGATGTGCCCCAGTAGGCAGGTTGGATGGAGCTATCCCTTTGGAGAGGGTTTAGTCCCATGGATACGTGCTGTGCCTTGTCCTTGGCCTCGGGGGCTGGAAAACTGGCTTGGCCTGTTTTATTTAGCAGCACAAATTTAGAAAACTAAGAGCTGGCTCTGCGTTTGTCATCACCAGCTGTGCACGTAGAACACATGAAGTTTGCTTCCTCCAACTCCAGCTGAGCAGGGGCATCCCCATGGCAGGAAAGCTGGGCAGAAATTAGACCAACTATGGGATTATCTGCATGGACCACCGTGGCCAAGCCTCTCTCTCAAGGTCTTGAACAAACAAGGGGATCAGCATTGCTGTCAGTGTCATCTCTGTGGCTTTCTGGACCCCATGTCACCTTTCCCCAGAGGTGACAAACTCACCTTCAGTCATGGTCTGGAAGTACATCTTCCCACTGTAGCGCCCGTACCCAGCCACGGTCCGTGCCCGCACCTGGAACACGTAGATGGTGCCAGCTTTGAGGTTCTGCACCGCCACGGTGTTGGTGGGGCTTTTCACCGTGGTCGAGTTCAGCTCGCTCAGATCCTGCCAAGAAAATAGGAATCTGCCCTCAGAAAAACCAGTTCAGAGTCGGGTGCTGCGTTTCTGAGAGGAGGGAGGGCAGGAGACCAGGGTGGTGTGGGTGGAGGGGCCACCCTGGGGAGAACAAACAGGTCCTTCCTCCTGGCAGTGAGGCACAGAAGCAGGGATGTGAGTATGGACATCCCAGGGCTATCCAGCACCTCTCAGGAAAGGCTCTAAAGGAGGTTTCTAGCTGGAAAACTTGAGTTGCTGCTGCAAGCCTCGAGCTCAATGGGGAGGGGAACTGCTCTCCTGTTCTGTGCACACCTTCTCTTAGCACTGTCCTCCTTCCTCACCCCCTCCTCCTGTGCCTGATCCAGCCTCAGCATCCTCTCTATTTGCTCTTCACCATCTCCCTTTGTCTGTGCTGGTGGCAAAGCCCACCTGAACACCGGGTTTTGGACCCTGGGAGAAGTATTTGGAGTGCTACCACCCAGGGCCTGCTTCTCCAGGGGCCATGGCCAAGTTACCAATGCTGGGGAACCCCAAGAGCACATTTAAAAGTGATAATAAGACTATTTCCACACTTTTGTCCTGCCCCCTGTCTGCTTGTTCTTCCAGCTGAGGACTGGAGCAGTCACATCATAATGATACAGATGGCATTGCACTTCTGTCAGTGATGGATCCATCAGGAATTATGCCCTTAGCTGAGGATCCAGAAGCACTGGTGGACAGGCATGATCTTCTTGTACAAGAGAACAGGCAGGGACATGGAGAAACTGGACAGCAGAGGAGGATGGGACCACATTCAGAGAGTCTTGAAGGTGGTCAAGAAGCCTGGCAGGCACGAAATCCCAAAAGTCAGAGCAAAGCAGCAACCTCTGCAAAGAGCACAATGCTTCTGGAAAACACAGAGATCTTAGGAAAGCCAAGCTGTGGGCAAGAGCCCTGAGAAAAGGAGGTGCAGGCACTGATTTTTTAACCCCAGTGTCTGTGGTGATGTCGAAGGTTCTCACCCTTCCTGGGCAGCACCTCAGATCTGGCAGGTCAGGCTGCCTTGGCAGGATCACTGGTAAAACAGAGCAGCAGCTGACAGCTCAGAATCCGAGCTGGCAAGTTTACAGACGAGTCCCCCGAGATCTGGGAACTTCAAGTCACTGCAAAGGGCTCAGCAAGCCCCAGGACCCCCCACCCTCACCAGGGTGTTTGGGAGTCAGACTAATGCCAAAGAAAAGCTCAAGGACAAATACACACAGACCAAGGGAAGAGGAGCACACAGCAAACCCATGGCCTTGCTTGTCTGATCAGTCCTCAGCACTCCCTTGGACCTTTCCCAGGCGGGCCAGGAGAGAAATAGGTCAGGAAATGTTTACAGTTTCAGAGCTCAAGGGCTTGGATGAATCCTCCCAGGCCCTTGGATGGCACTAACGACACAGGAGTTTAAAAATCATTTTATCCAACTCTTTTGGAGAACCTCATCCCTGCTCCTGGAGGACTTTAAATTGAATGCAAAGGGGCAGCCTACAAGCTGGTTGATAGCCTGGGAGATTGATGTGTGCCTGTCTGAGGAAAGGGTGCTCGTGACTGGGCTCTCCTTTAATCCCAGACCACAAGGAAAAAGCATTTACACCTCTCCACCCTCCCTTATCAAACCTTTTCTTTCTCCTTGGCATCACCTCTCCAGAACCTCAAACACATTCGCCTCAAACACTTCTTTCATCCCCTCTGGGCTTCTCCAGCAGGTCCAGGGCAACCCAGATGGTTCAAAATCCAAGTCCAAACTGTTTTATTGCAGAGGTTTGTGGTGTTTGTGTTTTTTTTTTCCCTGCTGATTTTGGTTTGTGTTTGTAATTCCTAATTCAAAATAACACACTTATTTCTTCTTAGGTTTGTTTTTGAGTCCTCATCTGGTTCCCTTTCCCACGAGTCAAACTGAAGCTGAAACCAAAGTCTGCCCAACAGAGGAAGAGCTTCTTGAAATCCTTTCAAGCAGGCTGTGAAACACCAAAAGGACTTGCAAAAACTGCTTCTAAAATGTCACATTTTTAAAATAAATAAATAAATCTAAAAAAAAAAAAAAGGCAAGGAAAAATGTCAACTGGCTTAATTTGGCGGAGAGCTCCTGTGTGCCCGAACAGCCCTATCTGCCACGACCAGACCATCACACACAGCTCAACTTCAGCCCCCATGGGATGGGGGAATGCTGAGGTGTGGGGAGAGGGTCCTGCCAGCCACTCTGCAGGTGGATCCATGGGGTCTGCAGAGCCTTCTCGTGGGCCTTCACAGCTCCAGCTGGCACAGGTCACCTCTCCCAGCCAGCCCAGGAGACATCAAAGGGCTCCTTCGCCTCCTAAACTATTACCCTGGTGACCAAACTGGGCTGAATGTCTTCAAACAATTACAAAATGGAGCATAATCAAGCCCAATCATTTTGCATAACGAGGAGAGCTAATTACCCTTCGCAGTGCTTGACACCACAGCGGCTCTCCAGTTCCCACACTCCAGGATGACTTTGGCAACTTTCTGGCCAAAAAACTGCTCCGTCCTTTCTACGTGAAGGCAACACACACACTTCTTTTAATAAGACAAATGTTGGCAGGTGCATCTTGGAAGTGGAAAAAAACCACATTAAAAAAAAAAACACGGAGAGCAGCCATGTCAGGCGGGGTTTGCACAACAACCTGCACCGATTCGCTCCAGCTCCACGGGAAAGCAACTCATAATGTTGCCTTTGTGCAGGCACCTTTAATAGCACCTAAGAATAGCAATGTTATAAATAATCTGTGAAAGGGAAACAAAAATACGCCTTTGTTTCAGGTATTGTGAGTGGCTCTTCTCTGTCAACGCTAAAATAACTTCTTCTTTTTTTTTTTTTTTTAAATTTAATTTATGTCTTTATATAGAAGAGAATCAGCTGAAAATGGACAGCCAAGGTGCTTTTTATACAAAATGCGTGTTATGCTATTCGTCATTTGAGCTGTTTTCATGAAAATAAAACATAATTTTCAGCTGGGGGAAAAAAAAAATTTCACCAGAAACAACTTAACCAGCTCCAGAGATGTTTGCTGAGCATTCAGAAGCACGAGGGACAGTTTGCAGTGAAATATTTGGAAGGAAACCACCTCTGCAGAGGCTGGCAATGGAGTGAGAACACACCTGGGGTGTATCACACACCCCATCCAACTGCAGGGCTGATGGGAAGCAAGGGAAGAGCAGAGCAGAGCCAAAGCCCTGCATTTTGGGAGTGTTCCCAGGCATCCAGTAAATGGCTTCTGACTGCAAAACTCAGCCCTGCAGTGGCTGGACTAACCTGGCATTCAGGGACTAACCTGCGGTCCAGGGATTAACCCCTGGCCCAGCAGCCTGAGCAGGACAGAGTGTCCTGTTGTACACACACACATCCCTTGGCTGGGGAGGAGCCACAGCCCTGCTGTTCTCCAACCAAAGAAACAGGGAAAAAAAAAAGGTACCACAAGGCTCAGACAATTCTGCCCCTCTGCTCTGTTCAGGTGAGACCCCCCTGCAGAGCTGCCCCCTCTCCTCTTGGGGGCCAAGCACAGGAAGGACGTGGAGCTGCTGGGGAGAGTCCAGAGGAGGCCACGGAGATGCTCCCAGGGCTGCAGCCCCTCTGCTCTGGAGCCAGGCTGGGAGAGCTGGGGGGGTTCACCTGGAGAAGGGAAACTCCAGGGAGCCCTGAGAGCCCCTGGCAGGGCCTAAAGGGGCTCCAGGAGAGCTGGAGAGGGACTTGTGATGAGGGTCTCGAGTGACAGGACAAGGGGGAAAAAAGGCTTCCCACTGCCAGAGGACAGGTTTAGGTGGGCTATTGGGAAGAAATCCTTCCCTGGGAGGGTGGGCAGGCCCTGGCACAGGTTGCCCAGAGAAGCTGTGGCTGCCCCTGGATCCCTGGAAGTGTCCAAGGCCGGGTTGGATGGTCCTTGGAGCAACCTGGGCTGGTGGAAGGTGTCCCTGCCCATGGCAGGAGGTGGGATGAGATGAGCTTTAAGATTCCTCCAACCCAAACTCATGCTGGGATGATCCCATGACTCTGTGAAATACCAGGACAGAGAGCACCCAGCACGTGGGGCTGCCTGTGTTGTCCTCTGTGCTCTCTCCCTGCTGCCTGAGAGTGGCTTGGGCCACTTGTCCCCATCATCAGGGACAGAGTGTCCTAAGCTCTGACAACACTCACCTTGTGGCTGCCTGCAGAGACTGACCACCAACAGCAGCACAATGTTTTAGACAAAAAAATTCTCTTTATTTACAGCCTCCCCCAGAAAACTGAGGGGAGAGGGATGAAAGAAAGAGGATGAGAGATTAAGAGAAAGTAAGAGGAGGAGAATGAACTCCTTGAGATCTTCAGCCTCTACATTGAGGGTCCCAGGGAAAGAACCCCTTTTGCTTTCCAGATCTGTCTTATCTACTCATCCATCTTGCCACATATTCTGGGATCATTTCCAAGGGTCAAATAAATGGCTGTGATTTATGCAATATAGGTCAGGACCTATTTAACAGCTTACAAAGGAGGCCCCCCCCCTCCCTGTTCTCCCTCTGGCTCTTGGTGATGAGAAAAATAGGTCACAGGCAGGCAGTGGGGGGGATTAATCATTTCTTCCGGCAACTGCTGGGAAAAACATTTTCAGTTCCATTTAATCATAAAGCTCTTTAATTAGTTAGTTTGCAATTTATAATGTATAGTTTATAAGCTCTTGTGTAAGGGGGCAGATTCCTGGAAGGAGAAATCTCCTACTCCCCTGGGTTGCACGGATGGAGCTCACCAGCAGAGCCTGGCAGGTCCAGGGACCAACATTTACGTGGTCTTCAGGGCTCTAAGCAGCCACACAACTCCAGCCCCATGAGATGGACACCCTTGCATTGTCCAGACTGAAATCCCTCTGCTCTCCTGAGTAGGGAGATGCTGGAAAGGGCATGTTCCCCCTGGGAGGAAAGAGCCAGAGCTGCAGGACCCCTTCACACCAACCCCATTGTGCAGTGTGGACCCTCCATGGGAGCACGGACAGGTTCTCCCTGGTACAACACCCAGGTTCAGGATGCCAAACAGATGCCAAGTTCACCTTTGGTGCAAGTGTACCCATGGACAGCATTCCATAAAACCTCCAAGATGGGACACCCAAAAAAATGTGCTCTGGCCCTGGACTGGATATTCCCACCAACACCCACTCTTCCAGTACAGGGAAGAGAAAAATCAGACCCTTGGCTACCCAGCTCTCCCTGCAGTGGGTCCACCTGCCCCAAGCGCTGTGGAGGTGAAGGGAGAAGGGAGAAAAGTTCCTCCTGAAGGACCAGCAGATTTTCCACACTTGGGTCACCGGGACTGGACTCTGGAGGGCTGATGGCCACTGGCCACCCACGTGGCCAAGTGCAGCAAGCTGCTGATCAGCCAACTGCTGGAGCTGGTGTTACACCCTTCAGCAGAGCTCTGCACCCCCCCTCCTCTCCCCAAAAGCCGTGGGTGACCCCTGGAGTACCTTCTCGTAATACTGCAGCTCGTAGTCCAGGATGACTCCGTTGGGCTGGTCAGGCTGGGACCAGGAGAGGGTGATGCTGTCAACGGTGCGGCTCACCTGGTGCATGATGGACACAGCAGAGGGAGCTGGAAAAGAGAACAGGAGAGGGACCTCAGTCAGACACCAGCAGGGGTGGGTTATTGCTGTTTGGAGCTACGGAATTCACTCCCAGTTCAACGGTTGGGAGATCCTGGATTTTGCTGTTTGTAGAGAGCAGTTAAGGGAGGGGAAAAAAACCCGATTCCTTTGGATTTTTAATTAGAAAACACATAGGACAGTGTCTCCAGCAGGAAAAAGAGTGATTCCAAGGCAAAACAAGTCCAGGCCTGGAGCAAGCACAGCATTGTTCCAGCTGGGAAAAGCCCCACAAACCCAGTAACATGCAACCCTTCCTGCTTGCCACGGGGAAATGGGGGGCTTTGCACTTTGCCATTTGCACGGGGAAGCTTCCCAAGGCTCGGGAGGAGCTTCCCAAGTCTCCGGCGGGGCGGGGGAAGCTCCTCCCGCCGGGTGCGGTTGGGTCCGGGAGCCGCACACGCCGATCGCGGGAGGCGCATCCAGCGCATCCAGCACATCCAGCAGCCTGAGCAGGCAACGCAAACCTGACCTGACACGCTGACAATGCAGAGCTGCCCGCCCGGCCCGGCCCCTGCAAACGGCACCCCCCGCTAAGAAGCCACTTGTCCCATGGGCACAAAGGGCCCTGCCCCGGCAGCTGTCGCCGCTGTGGCTTTGACACGGGGCCAGGTGGGAACGAGCGCTGGTGCCACGCCTTGGGAAAGCTGTCGTGGGGAGCTGTGCTGACAGGCCCGTGGGGCAGGGACCACGGCGTGGAGCTGCCACCACCCCTGGGAAACTCCGACCAGCTCTGTGGAGCCGGGGGGGGGGCAGGTGAGCCAGCCCTGGGCTGCCTGTAATCCAGCTGGATCGGGAGGCTTGCAGAGCTCATCGGGGCTGAAGGTGTGTCAGAGGAGGGGTTGGGTTGGGTATCAGGAAAGGGTTCTCCCCTCAGAGGGTGGTCAGGCACTGAACAGGCTCCCCAGGGCAGCAGGCACAGCCCTGAGGCCAAGTTTGGACAACACTTTCAGGGACAGGGGTGGAATTGTAGGGTTGCCCTGTGCAGGGCCAGGAGTTGGACTGGATGATTCTTGGGGGTTTCTCCCAGCTCAGGATAAGCTGTGATTTTCTGGTTCTAGGTACTGACAGCAGAGATGCCACAGTGCTGCAGGATCAGCCACCCACCCTTGCTGGAGGGCTGACACACACACACACACGGGTGCCTGTGCTGCCTCCTCTCCTCTGAATCGAGAGCACCTTGCCCACTCTGTGCCCAGCCTGCCCACAGCACTGCCCACACATCCACATCAGTCCAAGGCTTTTCCAGACCTCACCCAGCGCCAACCCCACCCTGGAGAGTGTGAACTCCAGCCGAGCGTTAGCCCTGGCACGTCTGCCGGTGCAGACTCACCACTCCAGCAGCTCCAGGGCAGAGGGGAAGCCTCAGGGGTGGGAGAGAACTGGAGAGCAGGAGCATGAAAGCCTCCCCATCACTCCTATGCCAGGTCTGGGTAGGAAGGGATGCAGAGAGGTTTGCACTCAGACGGGCTTTTACCAAGTCCAACCCTTTCAATATTTCATGGAAGAACAACTCATTTGACAGCTCTGAGGCACAGCTCAGAGGAGCAGCACACAAATCAATGCCTCTCACCTCTCCCCAGGCTGGCTCCCCTTGGCATCCTGGGCAGCAACAGGAACTGTGCCAGCTGGGATTGCAGCACCAGGACCACGGTGCTTGGACCCAGCGTGGCTCCAGAGTGTTCCTGCACAGCCCTGCAAGGAATTGCCATGGAGCTACTCCTCTCAAATACACCCACAAAAGCCATTTTTCTGATCCACCATCTGCCTCTTCACTGCTGGTTTTCTGGACTCGGAGCACTGCAGGTCCCAGGATGTTCAGTGTCTGCGTGCCAAGGGGCTGGGTGTGGGTAAAGCCATCGCACTGCTGCACTGTTTCCCTTCCCCTGCCTGGATTTCCCCACTCCTGAAGGAATCCTGATGTGGATGAGCTCCAGCAGAGTGTTGCCGAGCTCTAGTTTTGTCCAGAACTTAACTAAAACTGAAGGAGGGCAGAGAACTTCCATCACTGGAAGTGTTCAAGGCCAGGTTGGAGCAACCTGGTCTAGTGGAAGGTGTCCCTGCCCATGGCAAGGGGTGAAAATGAGATGAGCTGAAAGGCCCCTTCCAACTCAAACCATTCCGGGATCCTAACAGATCCTGAGACCAATCCTTCCATCCATTCCTGGTGAGGCCAAGCCCCATTACCCACCAGTCTGAAACCCTCTGTATCACCTCAGCCCTGCCCCTTGCTCCATGGAGAAGGCACTGCCTCCCTCCTGTGCCACTGCTTCAGGACACATCTTGACACACTCCTGGGAATAGTTTCTCATGCTGGTGTTAAGATAAAACACAGGTAACATTCCTGGAGCCTGCCAGCTCTTGCTGGAGCTTGCTGCTTCCCTGTCAACACACATTTCACAGGACATCTGTGATTTTCAAGGCAAACATTTATCTCTCTCTGGAGTCAAGCCCTGGAAGGGAGATGGGACCACGCTCCAGATGCCCTGCAGCTTGGATGGGACTGGAATTAGGGGAGAGCACAGCCTGGGGTCTCTCTGGTGTCTGCTCTGGGAACTGATCCCACACTCGTACGGGCTATCTCAGGACAGGGGCTGCACAGACCTGTCCCACCAGGATGTGGCAACATCCCATGATTTAGGCAGGCTATTTCAGGACAGGGGCCACACAGAGCCAGACATGTCCCACCACTGAAATGGGATGTGGTAACACCTCATGATTTAGACACAGGTTCAGTGGCCCTGCAGCTGGAGAAGCTCCTCAGCTTCAGGTTCCTCCCGGCGGGAGCGAGGTCCCTGGGATGTTCTTCTTCCAGTTCATGCACTGCACACCGAG